AGGTCGTGGCGGAAGTCACGACACTCCCGGCGGCGAAAAGAAAGTGCCGAATTATATATAAGCGAAGTAAGGTGCGAAACGGGAATATATGTGCCGAATATTGAACGCAAGGTTAGAGGGCCTAAGTACGGAGTTCCGGTTAAGAGGGGACGATGATAGATTATACACACGGGAATAAATACACAACTTCGCATGTAAGTGAATATGTGAGGCCAATATGGAATAACGAGTAAATACGAGAGTAAATACAGAAGTATGTACAAGTATGTGCACGATGATTGCATTGAACTGACTGATCTGACTGGACGGCTTTCATGGCGACGTAGATAACTTGACGTAGATAGCGCTTCCATTGACTGAGTGCTCTCCATAGCACAAGCGCGTTATAACTCGAGTTGTCGATGACGGTGACAGAGTTCGGATTGACTTGTTCGGCTTGGCTTGATGGTGACGACGGAGAGAAATGGGGCTATACTACGAGCGTGTGTTTACGCCTGGGACTGCAAACGTGCGAGTGAGAGATGTTTTAGACTCGCTGACTGAATTTGCGGGGGGTGTTGTCTCCCGAAAGTCCCTGTGCCGGATGGTGAACGAATAGTCAGTACATGTGTAGCGATCTCTCGGCGCTACTGTGGGGGGAAAAAGAACCCAAGTTTGTAGCCTGACCCTGATGTGAGGGGGTCGAATGTGAAGCGAACATTGACAGTATAAGTGAACACGTAGGACGGACGATTATTGATGCTGGACTTAAGGTCCTGGCAAAAGGGAAATAGAAAAGGCTATAAACCAATAGAGCTGAGAAGGAAATTGTAAACTATTGAACTGAGAAGGAAACTAAAGTAAATATGTAAATAGAATGTGATGAGAAAGTTCTTACCTCCTGCTTGTGTAGTGGTAGTAGGCGTGGTACATATGCTGCATGGATTCGAAGAACGGCTTAGGATCTATAGCTATGTCCTGAAGTACACGAGTACTCTGAGGGCAAAGTGCTGCATGATGGATAGGGTCCTGACAGATACAATCTGCGATCTGCTCACGAACTGAACACGGTCTCAGGAATCTCTGCAAATATAGTTGTTTACCAACAAGAACAAATACATTGTAAGATTCTTTCTCTTCTTATCCCTTTCTCTTCTTATTCTACTCTAGAGGCACCAAAATGGCTAATGCCGTTTGGACTCCAGCAACTTCGGCACCGAGCTCATTTTTAAATTACCTAAGTCGCCAAACCCGCTGAAAACCTCGTTGTTGTGAGCGGTGAAGCGGATTTTCCCATGTTACCTTGTCACTTTTAGCTCCTATCACTTCCGTACCCGCCAATAATATTCCCGTCCCGTATCACTATCATATCACCCTATATCGGATCCGAGGTCCCACTGTTGCTGTAACCTGCGTTACGAATTTGATGACCCTCCCCTTCCGAGGCCCCTTATCGGATCTTATCAACTGTTATCACTTTCTGTCACCCGCCAATAATGTTCCCGTCCCACACCCTATATCACCTCTCGGATCCAAGGACCCACTGTTCCTGTGAGCCGCACTATGAATTTGGTAGTCCTTCCCTTCTAATGCCCATTATCAGATCTTATCAGCTGATATCACATCCTGTCACCTACCAATAATGTTTTCGTCCCACCCCCTATTTCACTGCTCGGAACCAACGTCCCACTGCTGCTGTGGCCCGCACTATGGACTGGGTGACCATCCCCTTTTGAACGCCTCTTATCGAATCTTATCAACTGATATCACATCCTGTCACCCACCAATGGTGTTCCCGTCACACCCCTCCATCACTTCCTGGAATCAACGTTTCTCTGCCACTGGGACAGGTGTTATGAATTTCGTGACACACACACACACACACACACACACACACACTTAGCGGATTATATATTGTAGGATAAGACTTCACTGGAAATGGCCTGATGTTTCGACAGGGTCGTCGTAATCAGAGGCCTGAAAATAGCTTAAAGACAATTATCGCGATCAAGTATTGCGGGCAATTGTACTCTGTCATGCACCAGTATTCCATAGTTAGCTTCTCAGTAGAAAAAGAAGCAGAAAAATCTTCGGGAACACCTTGAACCCAAACCTACCTTTAGCAGTGGGGGCGGGGCCTGGACGAGTGTGCCGGGCGTGGCTGCCAGAATTCGGTGCGGCGGCCGCAATTGCGTCCCGACTTTCGAAATAGGATAATTTTCGAATTCGAATAGGAAATAGGAAACTGCGGAAACAGCTACGCCCCTGAATCGACGGTTGTCGGAGAGGAGAGCTCCCGTTTAATCCATCACTTGCGTGTCGAGTAAATTCCGGGCATCGATGTCTCGAAATTCCGGGCATCGATGTCTCGATAAAACGTGTTCCACTGAACTTACAGGGTTTTTTCTGTCAGAGTGGAGCTGGGGAGAACAGAGG